CTGGCTCTCACCTCTCGGGCGTTCCCTGCGCGTCCCCTGGATAGCCGGGTCCTTGGGCTCCCGGTGAGACGGTTGGGTAATTATGGGAGGGTGACTGGGTATACCAGGCACTTCCAGTCGCTCCTTCCCTGTTTTTTTGAGCTGTATGGTCTTGGAGAAACGGCTTAACTTTTCTTCATGGAGCTGTTTACAGAGTGCCTGCGGAGTGACTGTGAATATTGGGGGGAAAAAAAAAAGGCTAAGGTATTTGCCCACAGGTAAACTAGCAAGCAACCCTCCCTGGCCAGTGGAAAAGAATGCTAACTTAAATACGACTTAATACAAGACCCATTCGAGAGAGTGTGTAAATAACACGTAGGGTTTCTCTAGAGAGAGAAAACCAGACCTTTCTTGATCACCTTATTGTCACTGCTGGGGAAAGGGGAGTGAGAGGGACAGGGGGCTTTTTAAAGGAGCCAGGGAAGTGTGTCTGTCCGAGATTCTGGTTGCAGCAACTCCCAGCTGTGGTATTTTGGAGCGGAGGATAACACCATGTGCTAACAAGTGCTAACAGGCGGTCTTACCAGTTGGTTGTATAACAAGTCACAAACTGACTTTTCAGCCCAAACCTAATACCCTTACCCCCAGGAAGCCCCCACCTAACACAATTCATACCTTTTGTCCCTTGAACTTCATTCCTCATCTTTACTGATGTCAAACTGTTTTGTAAGTTCTCAAAGGGATGATCAAGCTTGAAGAATGTGATTAGTACGGATCAGACTCATAAGAGCTTTTACTGATAGATTATAAATTAAATGTATTCATGTATAATGTGGTTCCCATGCCAAAACATACAGTGCTGGGCATCCTTTTCTGAATTCCCGGTTCTTCTTAAGCCTAATTAGTTATCAGAAAAGTATTTCCTGACTAGAAACTCAGAAATGAGATAAATAATTTTTAAAACAAATTATAAGCATATCTGTGCTAAACATGTTTATTAAGCACTCCAATAGTCTTCACTGCATTCAATCATATCAGCAACCCTGAAAGAAAAGCACTGTGCTGGTATTACTGTCTTCTTAACCAGTCTTGACTGGGAATCTAGAAAAATGTATTTTAATGTGTTCTCCAGGCAAAACTCGGTCTGAGATCTGGTGGCTGTAGCAGGAGAACCAAAGCTTTGACGTCAGACCTGGGTGAACCTGAAGCTCTTTCACGTTCTGGCCTGTGACTGTGAACAGGGTTTTGAACTTTGTGATTCTGAGTTCTGCTGACTGTACATTGGAGTCAGTCATACCTAGTCTTTGGAGTGTCATGACTCTAAGATAAAAATACACTGTGCACCTGTCATAATGCCTGATGAATAGAAGGCACCCTCGTGAGAGGTAAGGTTGCCTTGGAACAAGCATCCTGTACTGTGTCCAGCACAGCAACTCTTAAATTGCTTTTCTCTCTAAGCTCTTTCTCCCCTAGACAGTGCTAGAGGCACACTGACAGTCTCTTACACTGCAGATCTTTATTTTAGATTCCTTGGTGACTATTGCCCATCTGTTGGTACATATCATTACGTTATCTCCCGCCTTCATTTCAAGGTGTGTTTTTTTCTTAACACGTTGAAATGCTGAACTATAGAGATGATTGCAGTCAAATAATGATGGCACAGAGGGTAGAAGCATCTGTGCCTGCCCTTCAAGGTGGTTAAAATTGTACTTAAATACCTCAGAGGAGAGACACCCTCAGAACTCACGCTGGCCTCCACTTACATAACAGTGCAGATGCTCCCTTTCCAGTCCCCTGCCAGTGCCTTGTTTTCCTCTCCTAGCTTCTTCAGTCACACTTAACAAAGGGAGCCTTCAGCTTGGGCACAACTTCCCCCTGACATCCAGAACTCGGATGTTTCCAAAGCCAATCTGTCTCCTCACCCCACACACCACCGACTACTGCTTCTCCTTACAAGAGCACTGGCAGCACCATTGCAGTAAGTCTCCCAGGCTGGAACACCCACGATGTCCTCAACTGCTCCTCCTCATTGTCACTCACATTCGATTGGTCACAACACTTAAATTTTACCTTCTCAGTTCACTCCCTACTTTGAATTTCCTCCACCCTGAAGTAGTTCAACCCTTATTATCTCTTGTTAGACCCTACAGATATATAAGTACCTGTACTGTGTTATGAAAATATCAAGTTAAAGTTTATTTCAGGATACTAAACATATACATATTACTCAATCATTAAAAAAAAAAAGAAGGAACTGGTGGCATTTGCAATAACAGATAAGCCTAGGTAGAGGACCTGGTGCTAAGTGAAGTCAGTCAAACAAAGCAAGATAAATACTGTATGATATCACTTATATGTGGAATCTTGAAAAGCTAGACTCACAGAAGCAGAGCGAAATGTTTATTGCCAGGGGACAAGGTTGGAAGTTGGGGAGCAATGAGAAGATGTTGACCAAAGGATACAAACCTTCACTTGTGAAGCGACACCGCATCTGGATATCTAACCTACCGTGTAGTGAAGATGGTTAATAATGGTGTATTTGGTACTAGAAATTTGCTGAGTAGATCTTAAGTGTTCTCACCACATCCATGGCTAGGATGACACAGAGCAGATACATGCAGCAACCAGCAATGAATAGGTAGCATGAGCAAGAAATAATTTGTCTTAAGACTCTGAGGTTTAGGTTTATCATTTACCACAGAGAACCTGGGATACACCCGTTGATTGAGAAATGAAGTTGCTACAGTTGACCAAAATCCAGTCTGTTAAGAAAGGCCCCAACTGGCAGTGTCCAGGATATGATAAAAATTTAGAAACAAGTCAGCATTGTGGTGCAGCAGGTTAAACCCCCTCCTGCAATGCCAGCAGCCCATAGAACCATAGGGTTTGAGTCCCAGCTGCTCCACTTCCAATTCAGCACCCTGTTAATGCATCTGGGAAAACAGCAGAAGATGGATCAAGTGCCTGGGCCCCTGCCACCCACGTGGGAGACCAGGATGGAGTTCCAGGCTCCTGGCTTTGACCTGGCCTAGTCCTGACCATTGTGGCCATTAGGGGAGTAAACCAGTAGATGAGAGATACCTCTTTCTTTCTCTTTCTTTGTAACTCTGCCTTTCAAATAAATTAATCTTAAAAAAGAATCTGGAAGCAGAGGGGAGTAGGAAACAGGAGCAGCATGAAGGACAACTGTTTGCGGGTGGTGCAAAAGAAAAGCCTGGAGAAAGAATCACTGGAACTCTGTTTTCATCTCCTCCCCCAACATCGTCTATTTTTCACAGAGAAGCCAGAGTAATCCTTGCTAACTAGCGTGGGGTAGGCATTTGGCACAGCAGTTGAAGACTCCACTGAAGACATTCGCGTCCCATTTCTCAAGGGCCTGATTTGAGTCCCGGCTCCAGCTTCCTGCTGATGCACACCGTGGGAGGCAGGAGGTGAAGGCTCAAGTACTGGGGTCCCTAACACCCAGAGACCCTGATGGAGTTCCAGGCTCCCGACTTTGCCTGGCCCATTCCTGGCAGTTGCAGGCATTTGAGGGAGTGAGCCAGCAGATGGAAGAGTTCTCTGTTTCTCTGTCTTTCAAATAAAATGAAAGTAAATAAACTAATAAGTATCAGTGAGATCTTATGATCCCTCTGCTGAAACCAGCCCATCTTTCATACCACTTTACAGTAAAATTCATTCTGTTTCTTGGCCTGTGACAGCTAACTGGCCCCTTTTGTGGCTTGTGTACCCTCAGTTACAATTATCTTTCCCATGGCTGCCTCACTGGTTTTGCTCTGAGCTTGGGCAATCGTTCTTATAGCCTGAAGATCCCTTTTTTCTTTTTAATTATTTTTTATTTGACAGAGTTATAGACAGTGAGAGGGAGAGACAGCGGCTTTACCGGCTGCACCACAGCGCCAGCCCCAACAAATAAAATCTTTAAAAAAGAAAAAAAAAAGAAACTGTTCGAAGCAGGTTAACAAATTCAGAAGCAAAGATTACAAGACTTAAGAAACTATGGTAGGGGCCGATGCTTTGGCCCAGCTGGTTAACGCCCTGGCCTGAAGTGTTGGCATCCCATATGAGTACTGGTTCGAGACCTGGCTGCTCTACTTCCAATCCAGCTCTCTGCTGTGGCCTGGGAAAGCAGTGGAAGATGGCCCAAGACCTTGGGCCCCTGCACCCATGTGGGAGACCCAAAAGAAGCTCCTGGTTCCTGGCTTCGGATTGGAGCAGCACTGGTCATTGTGGCCAATTGGGGAGTGAACCATCAGATGGAAGACCTCTCTCTCTCTCTCTCTCTCTCTCTCTCTCTGCCTCTCCTCTGTCTGTGTAACTCTGACTTTCAAATAAATAAATCTAGAAGGAAGGAAGGAGGATGGAGGGAGGGAGGGAGGGAGGGAAACTGTAGTAAAGAAAAGTGAGATAAAGAAAAGAGCACCAGAATGAATTGGACTTGATGGAGAACTACTTTATTTTTTTTTAAAGATTTATTTATTTATTTATTTGAAGGCAGAGTTACAGTGAGGCAGAGAAAGAGAGAGAGAGAGAGGTCCTCCATCTGCCGGTTCACCTTCCAGATGGCCACAACGGCCAGAGCTGCACCAATCTGAAGCCAGGAGCTTCTTCCGGGTCTCCCACGTGGGTGCAGGGGCTCAAGTACTCGGGCCATCTTCTACTGCTTTCCCAGGCCACAGCAGAGAGCTGGATCAGAAGTGGAGCAGCCAGGACTCAAACCAGTGTCCATATGGGATGCTGGCACTGTAGGCGGTGGCTTTACTCGCTACGCCACAGTGCTGGCCCCGGAGAACTACTTTAAAGATCAGTTTTCATTACGGGCACAAGCCATATCACAAGAACATCAGGAACTCAAACCAGAGAGAAATCCTAGGCCCGGACACTACAGATGGTGAAGAGGGAGCCGAGAGCTAAGATGGAGAAATCCAGCAGCTGCAGCACATGATAGCACAGAAGGAGGACGTCACCCTTCCGGAACCGGAAGCTGAACGCTTCAGATGGCAGCTGCAGCCGGCCTCCCTTCAGTGCAGTGAGGGTCCCTACCTGTGAGACCAGACTTCACAGGGGAAGTTTCTGGAGACCTTGACCAGGACAGAGCTAGAACTGAGCCAGCAAGCAATGTAAGCCAGAGAATCGTTTTTAAATGCTTTATCTATGTAGTCATTCCAATACTTTTTATGAAAATTTTTAAATAAAAATTTTCTTAAAAAGAAATGAAATAATCTTTTTTTTTAAAGCAATGGTTAGAACATCCATGTCCCACATCAGGGTACCTGGGATTAACTGCTGGCTGCAACTCCCGACCCCAGCTTCCTGCTCGCGCAGAACCTTGGTTGCAGCAGTGATGATGACTCAAGTAGCTGGATTCAGGCCACAGAAGGGGGACCCCTGGGCTGACCCAGCTTTGCCTCCAACACACCTCCTGAGCATCGCCTCTCTGCTTGTTGTAGCCATCTTGGGAGTGAAGCAGTGGGTGGGAGCTCATTCTCTTATTCTGTCAGCCTCTCTCTATATATATAAGAAATAGAAATTAAAATTTTTCAAGATATTTACAAGCCATATATCTCATGAGGGATTAAGGAATATATAAAGAATTCCTACAATTTAACAGTTTAAAAAGTGATTACAGGCTGGCGCCGCGGCTCACTAGGCTAATCCTCCGCCTTGCGGCGCCGGCACACCGGGTTCTAGTCCCGGTCGGGGCACCGGATTCTGTCCCGGTTGCCCCTCTTCCAGGCCAGCTCTCTGCTATGGCCCAGGAGTGCAGTGGAGGATGGCCCAAGTACTTGGGCCCTGTGCCCACATGGGAGACCAAGATAAGCACCTGGCTCCTGGCTTTGGATCAGCGCGGTGCACCGGCTGCAGCACTCCGGGCCGCACCGGTCATTGGAGGGTGAACCAACGGCAAAGGAAGACCTTTCTCTCTGTCTCTCTCTCACTGTCCACTCTGCCTGTCAAAAATAATAATAATAATAAAATAATTAAATAAAAAGTGATTAGATATTTCTTTAAAAAAAAGTATACAAATAGCGAATAAGCACATGAAAAAATTCTTAACACCGGCCGCGGATCAATAGGCTAATCCTCCGCCTTGTGGCGCCAGAACACCGGGTTCTATCCCAGTCGGATTCTGTCCCAGTTGCTCCTCTTCCTGTCCAGCTCTCTGCTGTGACCAGGGAGTGCAGTGGAGGATGGCCCAGGTCCTTGGGCCCTGCACCCCATGGGAGACCAGGAGAGCACCTGGCTCCTGCCTTCGGATCAGCGCAGCATGCCAGCCGCAACACACCAGCCGTAGCAGCCACTTGTGGGGTGAACCAACAGAAAAAGGAAGAGCTTTCACTCTGTCTCTCTCTCTCACACTGTCTAACTCTGCCTGTCAAAAAAATAAAATAATAAAATAAAATAAATTAAAAAGAATTCTTAACAGCACAAACATTAGGAAAATGCAAGTGAAAACCACAATGAGATACTGTAACATTCCTATTATCAAAACAAACAAAAAAATAAGTATTATAGAGAATGTAGAGAATGAACTCTTGTGCACTGCTGGTAGGAGTATGAAATAATACACCTGCTAAGGAAAACATGGACATTCTTCTAAAAGTAATTTACCATATGATATGGGAATTCTACTTATTTGTATATTCCCAAAGGGATTGAGAGCAGGGTCTTAAAGAGACACCTATATACCCATGAGCATAGCAGCATTATTCACAATAGCCACAAGGTGGAAGCAATATGAGTGCCTATCAACAGCTGAACACATAAACACAGTGGTAGATGCATATAGTGAAATATTCAGCCTTAAAAAGGAAGGAAATTCTGGGGATGGGTGTTGTGGTACAGCAGGTTAAGCTACTGCTTGGGACACCCCCATTCCTTATGAGACTGGCTGTTTCAAGTCCCTACTACTCTATGCTTCCAACCCAGCTTCTTGCTGCACCTGGGAAGCAGCAGAAGATGGCCCAAGTACTTGGGTTCCTGTGACCCTTGTGGGAGACCCAGATGGAGTTCCTGGATCCTGTCTGGACTGGCCAAGACACAGCTGTTGCAGGCATTTGAGAACCAGCAGATGGAAGACTCCTCTGTCTGTCTTTCTTTCTCTCTCTCTCTCTCTTCCTCCCCCCCCCCCTCCTCTTATGTCTTGCTCACTCTCTGCCTTCCAAATAACTTCATAAAAAATCAGGGCCAGCACTGTGGCACAGTGGGTTAAAGCCCCAGCATGTGGCACCGGCATCCCGTGTGGGCACCAGTTCGAGTCCTAGCTGCTCCTCTTCCGATCCAGCTCTCTGCTGTGGCCTGGGAAAGCAGTAAGAAGATGGCCACATCCTTGGGCCCCTACACTCGCATGGGAGACCTGGAGAAGGCTCCTGGCTCCTGGCTTCAGATCAGCTGAGCTCTAGCCATTGCAGTCATTTGGGGAGTGAACCAGTGGAATGGAAGACCTCTCTCTCTCTGGCTCTACCTCTCTCTGCAACTCTGTCTTTCAAAGAAATAAAATAATTAAAAAAAAAAAAAACGCAAAAACGCATAGAGACAACAGAATGGTAGGTAGTTGCCAAGTACTGGGAGGCGGGATGGGGAGTTGTTGCTTCAAGAGTGTGGACTTTCAGTTTTCCAGATGAAGAGTTCCAGAGGTGGATGATGATGATGGCTGCACAACATTATGAATTCACTTAATACCACCGAACTGCACACCAAAATAATTACAATGGCATATTTCACATTATATGTATTTTACCACAAAAAAAAAATAGGGAAAAAAAAGGATACCTCTGCATTCCTTTGGAATGGCTAAAAACCACAAAAAAAAATAGGAAAAAAAAAGGGTACCTCTGCATTCCTTTGGAATGGCTAAAATCCAAAACACTGACAATACCAAAGGCTGGTGAGGATGTGGAGGAAAAGGAATTCGCATTCAGTGCAGGTACGAATGGTACAGATATTCTGGAAGATAGTTTGGCTTTTTTTTTTTTTTTTTTTTAAGATTTGTTTGTTTATTTGAATGGCAGAGTTACAGAGGAAGAGAAGGTGAAACAGAGAGGGAGAGAGAGATCTTCTAATCACTGGTTTACTCCTCAAATGGCCATAATGGCCAGGACTGGGCCAGAACTGTTGAACATGGGAGTGGGAATGGGAGAGGGAACACATCGGGACAGGGGCCCAAGCACTTGGGCCATCCTCCTCTACTGCTTTCCCAGGTGCATTAGCAGGGATCTGGATTCAAAGTGGAGCAGTGAGGACTAGAACTGGCGCCCATATAGGATGCCCACACTGCAGGCCGTGGCTTAACCTACTGTTCCACAGCACCAGCCCTAGTTTGGCATTTCTTACTAACCTAACATAGTCGTACCATACAACCCAGCAATCACATTCCTAGATATCTACCTAAATGAGCTTGGAACTAGGTCCACACAAAGACCTGTACATGAATGTTTATGAAAACTTTACTCATAATTGCCAACAATTGGAAGCAACCAAGCCCTTCAATAGGTGAATGGATAAACTAAAGTACAGTGATATTTTATTCAGTGATATAAAGAAATAAGCAATCAAGCCATGAAAAGATATGGAGGAAGCTTAAAGCCATATTGCTTGAGGCTGGCTTTGTGGCGCAGCAAGTTAAGCCATCACCTGTGATGCCCATGTCCCATATGAACACCAATTCACCATCTGCTCCACTTTTGATCCAACTCTCTGCTAATGTGCCTGGGAAAGCAATAGAAGATGGCCCAAGTACTTGGCCCCTGCCACCCATGTGGGAGACCCAAATGGAGTTCTAGGCTTCTAGCTTTGGCCTGGCTCAGCCCTGGTCATCACAGCTGTTGGGGAGTGAACCAGTGGATGGAAGATTCTCTCTATCTCTATCCTCTCTGCCACTCTGCCTTTCAAATAAATAAATCTTTTTTTAAAAAAAATTGCTAAGTATATAAAATCAATCTGAGAAGACTACATTTGAAGTATGTTTCTAAATACATGACTTAGATTTGTAAGTATATGATTCTAAGTATATGACATTCTACAAAAGTCAAAAACTACCAATACAGTTAAAAGATCCATAGTTGCAAGAGAAAAAGTAAATATATGGAGCGTAGGAGATTTTTTTTTTATTTGACAGGCAGAGTGGACAGTGAGAGAGACAGAGAGAAAGGTCTTCCTTTTTCTGTTGGTTCACCCCCCAGTGGCCGCTACTGCTGGTGCACAGCACCAATCCCAAGCCAGGAGCCAGGTGCTTCTCCTGGTCTCCCATGCGGGTGCAGGGGCCTAAGCACCTGGGCCATCCTCCACTGCCTTCCCTGGGCCACAGCAGAGAGCTGGACTGGAAGAGGGGCAACCGGGAGTATAACCTGGCGCCCATATGGAATGCCGGCACCGAAGGCAGAGGATCAACTCAGTGAGCCACGGCACTGGCCCCGAGTGTAGGAGATTTTTAGGGTAGCAGAACTTTCTGTGTAATACTGTAATATTGGATAAATGCATTCATGTTTAGAACAATACAACAAGGGGCTGGCGCTGTAGTGCAGTGGGTTAAAGTCCTGGCCTGAAGTGCCAGCATCCCACATGGGTGGCAGTTCAAGTCCCGGCTGTTTCACTTCCAATCTAGCTCCCTGCTATGGCCTGGGAAAGCAGTAGAAGATGGCCCAAGTCCTTGGACCCCTGCACCCACATGGGAGACCCTGAAGAAGCTCCTGGCTCCTGGCTTCAGGCTTCAGGCTGACCTACTCATGGCTATTATGAGCATTTGGGAGATGGACCAGCAGATGGCAGCTCCTCCTCTGTCTAGCTCTATCTCTTTGCCTCTGAAATAAAGACATTCCTTAAAAAATAAGTTCATTTTGGTACAAAAAATTTGAAATCCAGGAATTTTTTCATAATACGTACTTCTCTGAACTTTTTTTTAAGGTTTTATTTATTTATTTGAAAGGCAGAGCTATAGGGAGGCAGAGGCTGAGGCAGAGGCAGAGAAAGAGTTCTTCCATCTGCTGGATCACTCCCAAATCACCACATCGGCCAGAACGGGGCTGATCCAGAGCCAGGAGCTTCTTCTGGGTCTCCCACATGAGTATAGGGGCCAAAGAATGAGTATAGAGGCCATCTTCTACTGCTTTCCCAGGCAATAGCAGAGAGCTGGATTGGAAGTGGAGCAGCCAGGACTCGAACCAGTGCCCATATGGGATGTTGACGCTGTAGGTAGCAGCTTTACCAGCCATGCCACAGCACCAGCTCCACTTCTCTGAACTTCTTGAAGACCCGTGTTATATAAGTTTCTCAACTGTATTTTTTTCAAAATTGTTTTAGCTAGTCTAGATCCTTTGCATTTGCATGTAAATTTTAGAATTGACTCATCAATCTCTATGAAAAACTTGCTGGCATTTGTATTAGAATTGCATTAAATCTATAGATCAATTTTTGAATACTAACTTCTTAATGATATTCAGTCTTCTGATTCACTAACATGTAATCACAATAAATATACTTAATAAAGGACAAAATGCAGGCTACATTAAAAATCCTCATAACTCAAAAATCGTTAGACAAAAATTGGGCATTTTTTCCATAGCTAGAAACAAGAACATTTTACAAAAGAGAGCAAAAAGTGGCTAAAAAGCATAGGAAAACATATATAACACTACTAGCTGTCAGGGAAATATAAATTAAAACCACTTCACATCCTCCAGAATATCTAAAACTGAAAAGACTGACAATAGGAAGTGTTAGCTAGGATTTGGAGTAACTAAAAAACTTTGATACATTGCTGCTGAGAGTGTAAAATGGTGCACTCCTTGAAAAATAGTTTGGCAATTTCTTTTTATTATTATTTATGCATTTCAGAGGCAGAGGGACAGAGAGAACCCCATCTGTTGGTTCATCCCTCAAATGGCCTCAAAAGCCAAGGCTGGGCAGGTCCAAAGCTGGAAGCCAAGGATACATTATAGGTCCCCGATCAGCT